CAGACTAGAATGAAGGTATTAGAGAGCTTAAAGGATATTGGATTCGTCATCGTCAGGAGGTCTGACGAATAAGAATGAATGCTTTGAAGAGCTTAGTGTGAAACTAAATCATATTCTCATTCCATCAGTTCAGTGAGTTCAGTTCCAAATAGGGAGTTAAGACTGTATCTCTTTCCTCGTAGGAATATGATTGATTAATGAAACCCTTGCTTGTTGGCCGTTAGCTATGGTATGAAATGGCTCGGGATCAGAAAATAAGATAGCTGCTCCTTTCTTTGCCCGAGTTGACGATAGAGATAGATAGGGATTTGGAATGAAAGTCAGAGGCTGCAGTCCCGGAAGAAAAGGTTATTCGCTATTGGCTCACCCTTGTATCAGGCCTTGGTACGTCCTATACATGATTTGGCCATGACGGTTTTGGCAAGGTTAAGAATGGATGGTACCTATAACCAGACCCAACCGTTGCAGTACTTGAGAGGAAAGAAAAAATGATTCTCTTTTGATCTCAAGGCTGCTACCGATTCCTTACCTCTTATCCTGATGTCCTCTATGATTGCGGGGTTGTTCGGAAATCCCTTTGCAACTTCCTGGACGTTCATACTTTGTTCTGTAGTTTTTCAATTACCATTTTTATAATAAAGAGGTCATCGCTTGTGACGGAGGTTTTTCCTCGGATTTTCTAGTTCTTGGCCTCTATTCACACTTACACATCATATGCTTGTGTGGATAGCAGCAATTCTACTCCAGAAGTCGGGGATTGACTCCCTCCCCTCGGGCCAGACCTGTTTCAATTCCAATTCTCAGCCAAATCTGCAAGGTCAGAGTAGTCTGAAATTCTTATTGAACTGATTGAATCTGGTATTTTTAAGTGATAATTGATAGCAGGAGGCTAACTTTTATGATTCCTTTCAGATGCCGTGCCGGTCAAAATAGAAGCTAGCAGAACAATCGACACAAGAGAAGAGAGGAGTAAAGAGAGCAAACTATCTCAAAGAGAGAACCAAAAGAGAAGGGAGAGAATGAGAATAAAAGAAACAAGAACTGGATGATCAAACTGATGCTTCTAGTCCTCAAACTAGTATGCGATGAGAAAACCGATCATAGCAGGGGGGAAGTATATTTGATACTGAGCTTGCATCTAATGGCTTATAGGCCTCTTCCCTGTGGTAGAGTTTAAACTGAATGTCATTTCCCCGCTTGAAAGTGAATTGTTAATTCCTTATCCGGTGGGATAGCTTACTTCAAGACTACCCCAAGCCAGGAAAGCGAGTGCTCGTGAATGCGCTCCTCATTTAGCCCCGTGACTCGTAAAGGAAGCCTTCGGCTGAGGAGCTGGGCTTGGAAACGATAGCCTCTGCCTGAACGCTCCGTTCTCGGTCAAGCCGCGTGAAGGGCCTCTGATAATGACGTAAATAGAGCTCGTTCCGCTACTCGCGCTAATCCATGATCTAATGTTCTCGCTTGGGATGGGAAACGAGGGAATTTTGATAGCAAGGATGGGCTAGTTTCCTCCTCTCGCTGTGCTCGAGTCACTTGACGCTCCTTTCGCGGTGTTAGATGTCAGAGTGGTCCTGAGGCTTGGAACCCTCAGGTAGAGCCTGAGGCTCATCCCTCGATGTGAATTGACCTTTTGCCTTTGATTCATCATCTTAGTAGTTTTGCCTTGAACCTGCCGATGCAAACTGAGATTCGGAATCAGACCTTGCAACTAAGCGAAGGGCTGAGGTAACGAGTGAAATCGCTCGACTATCAGGATAGGATTGAAGACGCCTCGCCCCTATCGAATAAAGTAAGGAGAGGAGTGAGACTGCTTACCCAAGAACGGGAGGAGCGAAGCCTTCTGAAGAAGATAAGGGAATGAAAGAAGCAAGCTACGATTCATACTATAAGATCCTACGAGATAGATTTCTTATTGAGAAGAAGATGAGTTCCTCGCCATGCCATCATCAATGACCCATTTGAGTGATTCGGTCGGGATCACTTCTTAACCTGACGCTGAGAGAACCGAAGCAAGGGACTGATTGACCGTTGGGTTCCGGGGAGAGTAAGCAACGGAAGAGAGAGATTCTTAAACCATCTTAGATGAGTTAGAATCTGCTGAACCGGACACCTCTCTCTATCCCACGGCACTCAAAGCGGATCTGGCTGTACCAAAACAACCTTCACGCCGGCCAACTAAAAGCTTGTTGGATTGTCAAGGAATTTCTTACTTATATATATATATTATATAAGGAGAGAAAAAGGATGAATAATCTCCGCTTCTAGCCGCACTCTATAACCAAGCAGCCAGAAACACCACTCTGAAGCTAGCTTTCGTTCTAACCCGATTTATATCTCTCATCGTGAAATGGACTACCTATCTGAATGTCGAAGATGCACCAGCCACTCCATATGACATTGGGAGAGAGTGTAATGGCACCTGATCTCATTTCATTTATGAGTGTTCACCCGAGCTTGATCTTCTATTTCTATTAGACAATCACTTGACTTTGCGAAAGACATACCCGGTGGAGTTCAACTAAACCAATCGACAAGAGGGATACCTTGTTCTTAGTTCTTACCATAGATTCACCTTCTTCCCATGACACCGACCTATATCCCAACCAATCCAGCAAGCGAACTTGTAGGTCTGACTGGCTTGAAAGCAGGAAAGTCTCATCGGAGAACGAGTTCCCCCGCCTTTCATTAATCGATCGCTATCAGTGAATTTGATGTCAGAGAAAGGGGTGCGTCCTCAGCCGGCGAGGAAGACTAACTATCTGATCTTTATTTACGTGATTGAGCGGGATTTTGAAAAGCACAGCACGGAATTAGATGAGTCATCATCGGCCCTGCCATGCCTTCTGTATCCACTTCTGAACCAGACACATATAGTCTATTGAATCACAGGTCAACGGAATGCGATCAGAGGCAAGCTCAACAAGCCAGCTCAGATTCAAAAGATAGGTGCCGAGCCGGGGTTGATGAAAGATCACACTCTAATAGAAGATAAAGAGCTGGAAATACAAAAGCCACTTCTCAATACATAGTGGATTCAAGTTCAATGAAACCGTTTGACCGTTGGCTTAATGGACGAATTCGTATAGAAAGGCACCTCAGGGCCACTCGATCAAAGCGGAGAGGAACCTGCTCTGATAGACGAGACTCTATGTTCAGATATGGGCAGTCCCATGCCCAAGAACGAAAGCAAGCGCGCTACAACTAAAAGCATGAGCTCGCCCATCTTTGATCAAGGAAAGAGAGTCAAGGTATTCATTGTCCGGATAAGGCTCAATTGAATTAGCAGCGGATGGCCACAAAGCGAGAAGAATCCATTGTTGGAGTTGGAGGAATAGGCGATGCTAGACTCGAATGGCTATTTCGAAGAGGGCTAGTAGAAGGGCTTGATCCCTTTCGAGCTAACTTAACTGACAACAAGAGAAAGAAGAACAAGTATCGACACTTGAAAGCTTGAGTTTTGTTTCCAGCTAAGAGTGATTGATATCCTACCAGTAGCCCTTCTTCCAACAAAAAAGGTAATTCACTTAAGAAAGCAGCCAAGCAATGGCCTTGTTATTTATAAGGGGTGCGGCTATGCCGTGTTCTCGGTGTATGCGCGAAGTGAATCTTCTATACCGTCCAAAGTAGGCGGGCAATTCGTCGTTCATGCATTTGGGACCGTTGTCCCTGGAGATTTAACTTAGTGCTAGGCTTCCGCTGTCGGTCCGGCCCGGGTGATGAAACTGAACGTACTTTGGTTAGTCATTCAGCTTGTATCGACTTCCGTTTGTCCCTCTGTTCCTGATCCTTTACAAGCATAGAATGAATCGAGTGGGGGTTGATTCGACTCATCATGAACTTATCGACACAGCTCTTATTATCTTCCATTCCAGCCTCACTTCCTTCAGAACGCCACCTCCCTCAGCCTCCTTACTATCTGCCCATAATCTTCGGACCTATTTCAAGAGTGGTGGTCAAGTTGCGCAGCTATTCACTTCGATCAACCTCTTCGACTCCTAATGATCCCAAGAACGGAGTCATCTGCTCGTTCTCCCACTCTAAAGGTATGCTGGGACCAGCTATTCCAGTTAGGCTTCCATCCTTTTGGCTTGATCCTTTCTTTCCATCGAGCTGTCTGGTCTAGTTCCAATTTTCTTCGAAACATAGCTTAAAGTGCAAATGAGAACGCGGATAAAAAAGATAGGACAGAATCTTCCCTACAAAACCGTATACTAAGTAATCATTCGAGAACTACGTAACTCTCCCAGCAACTAAAGTAGCGTCTGTTAGCGCAACGGCTTTCGCTAACGCCTTTATTCGTCTAAGGAACAAGCACCGGACTTAGAGATAGATAGGGGCAGGATAAGGTGCTAGCGCGAAAGCCCCCACTTAGTTTAAGGCGTTAGTACGAACAAGCAACGGATGAGCGCCCTAGCGCGAAAGCCCCCACTCAGTTTAAGGCGTTAGTCACGCGCAGCCGTTTTCTTGCTGCTTTAGTTTGATTGCTGCTTTAGTTTGATTGCTGCTTTAGTTTGATTGCTCCGCCTAGTTTTCTTGCCCCGTTTTCTTGCTCCGCCTAGTTTTCTTGCCCCGTTTTCTTGCTTGATTGCTCCTTGCTTGTTGCTCCAACTTAGGACTAGGGGCTCTAGAGCCTTTTCTGCAGGCTGCTATGCTAGTTGTAGCGCGCTAGCGCTTTACTAATAGAATATCAAGTCAAGGGGACTTTATCATGATCTTACGAATCTACAACTCTCTTTACTGAGCGAGACTCTACCCAGATCTAAAGAATTCGCCAAAGAGCCTTCTTCTAACTAGGAGAGTAAGCAAGCTACCGGAAGCGAAGCTTCTGGCTCCCCCTTTGAAGCCTCCGGCTCCCTCCTTTTCGTTCTACTTAGGTGGAGCAATCCGAACTCTCGACAGAATATAAAAGAGGTTTGTTTTTATTCCTATGTAGACACCTCAACGAACTCATGTGGACACTCCTCCGCCCGAGGACAATCTCTCAAAAATACACATTAAGATGTTGACCCGTTTTTCTTTTCTTTGCTGATTCCTCAAAGATGAAATTTGCCATGTTGCACTAAGTTACTTACGGATGTATGCATGCGGTCCGGGAACACTTTGGGGTGAACACCCATCCGAACAAGTAGGGTCAATAGTTCAGCATTTAGGCCGTAACATTTAGCAACAAAAAAATCTTTAACCCAACAAGTGCTCTCCGAACCAAGCTAGATAGTCTCCTATCACTAGGCTCACCAACCAACCTGGACTTTGATTCTTTTTATTCCTACCGGATATCAAAACCATAAGGATTGTTTCCACCAGCCATGAGTTTCCCATATGACATAAGCGCTCTTGGGTGGGCTGGGCCATTCCATCAAATCTTTGAGAAGGGGCCCAATCTCGTGCTCGACAAAACAGAAAGTATCATGGTACCTAAAGTCAAAATCCCTGTTTTGAGATTTGCTTTCTATATCCGCCCAAAAATGAGTTAAATTGGTCAGAAAAAGGTCCCATTTTTTGACGTTTTGATACCCTTTATATATATCTATTTTTTAGTTCCTTTTCCAGGCTGTCTCTAACTGTTTTATAACAGTCACTCTCCAACTGACACAAACGTTCTTGCATTCGTTCCAAATCTTTGAACTTTTGGCCTAGTCCGCTAAGTTTCTCCCCCAGGGCTGAAGCGCTTTGAGGATTGCTTTCTTGTGACTGGTCAATCGCCTCGCGGAGTCGTTCAAAGTCTTGGATTGCTTGCTGAAACGCCTGTTTTAGGCGCAGTTTTTCTTCTTTAAGATAAAGGAGCTCCTCCTCGGGTGAAGGCCCAGGCTCATCACCTGGCCTGTTTAGATCGAAGGATCGGGCAGGCTCCTCCTCTTCTGGCGGCATGTTGAGGTCAAAAGGCGGTCGTGTCGAAGAGCTCGGACCACTTCCATCCCCTCGATCCACTTTTCCAGCCAGGCAAGTTCGGGAACATAACCTAGCAAGAAAAAAACACCGCAGAAAAATAAATAAGGGGATTAAGGCTTGCTGTTTTCTGGGGAGGCTATCGTTAAAAAAGAACAGTCCAAGAAGAGTCCAAAAATGCATAAAAACGAAGACAAATAACCAGTATGGGATTACCCATATAGTAGCTAAGTCACCAGGGAATGACTTAAACCCCAAAAAAATACTGAAAAAAAAGTCAAAAATAAAAGGAATAAAAAGGGCCCACCCCTCGCGCTTCTCTAAGCTTAGAAAGATGATGCAGGCCCCGGGCGGCTAGCTTAAATAAATAAGAGAAATAAAAATCTTCAAAGCGTACTAATCCAACAAATGTTTGAACGAGGAGAAGAAAGAAAAAAGAAAACATATGTTTTCTAAGGGTCGAACTGTATTTCCCCCAAAAAAATGAGAGAATAGAGTATGCTAGTTGTTGAAAGGCGAGGAAGAATCCCCACCTCGCGAGCGCCTCATCGAGACAATAAAATAAGAAAACTATTTTATGGGCATAATTAAGAGGAAAAAAAAAGATCACCAAAAGGAAGCAAAGAAGAACGAAAGAAAGGACTCCTCCATCTACGCCTTGAAGATAAAGACTAAAGAAAAGGCTGAAGAAAAAGCATAGAAGGAGTAAGTGTCTTACCCTTTCGTTTTTTTCTTTTATTTTAAAGTGAAATAAGAAACATGTCATTTGTGCCACAACCTGCAGGGGATTCACTAAATTCCCCTTTTCGATGTCCGGAAACATAAGTTTGTAGCACCAGACAAAAAGCAAAAAACCCGCTAAAATAAAGCCGATTTGCATAAAAAAAAGGAAAGTTTTCCCTTTTATGACTTTTAGCGTGAAAGAGATTATAGCAAGGGGCGGACAATAAAATAAATAAACTATTATAACAAATAAAAAGAGAAGAAGAAAGCCAGGCAAAGCAAAGGCACATGCAGCTCCCGCCAAAGCAAGAAAAGCTGAAAGAATCGATGCTCCGCCCACTCGTAATACGCCCTGAAGAATTCCTACCAGCAGACTTCCCTGTACTCAAAGTGAATTGTCTAAGTGCTCTCCCCTCTTGGCTTTTTCTCATTGTCTATCTCGCGATTCCGTCCGAATTTGAGCTCCTACTCCTGCTCCTCCTTTAGGATAGGATCGTCGTTGGTCCTTCTTTCACTAATGATCTCACCATTTTCAGACAAAGATGCCCCTCGCGCAGGCCCCTAGATTAATAAGGCGATGCCCCTATCAGATAAAGGCGAAGCGAGAGGAACAAGCAACGAGCAAGAAAACTAGGCAAGAAAACGAGGCGGGGCAAGAAAACTAGGCAATCAAACTAAAGCAGCAATCAAACTAAAGCAGCAATCAAACGGCTGCAGCAAGAAAACGGCTGCGCGTACTAACGCGCAACGGCTTTCGCTAACGGGCGCTAATTCCGTTGCTTGTTCGTACTAACGCCTTAAACTAAGTGGGGGCTTTCGCTAACGGGCGCCTTTATTCGTAGCGGGCTTGTTCGTACTAACGCCTTAAACTAAGTGGGGGCTTTCGCTAACGGGCGCCTTTATTCGTAGCGGGCTTGTTCGTACTAACGCCTTTACTAAACGTTAGCTTTCGCTAACGGGCGCTAATTCCGTTGCTTGTTCGTACTAACGCGCAGCCGTTTTCTTGCTGCTTTAGTTTGATTGCTGCAGGAGTTTTCTTGCTTGCTGAGGTAGGGTGCTGTAATAAAATTTTACATACAGCAACCACTGACTCATCCATGACCGGAGGCACGTCCATTCTAAGAACTCGAAATTCTCGGAGTGAGTGAAATACTCACTACCGGGTACTTTCAAGTCCTTCATCCAATCTCTTAACCGGGTTATCATCAAGCCGATCAAGGAATTAGATATAGGCATGCCTCGTCCCAACCACCAAGTAACAGGCAGTCGGGAGTGGTCATACAACGCCAAAATTCTCCTCATTCGTAGAAGAGGGCCACCTGGCAAGGGTATTAAAACCCACGCCACCTACCCGGTGTCGACAATCGATTGAATTTCGATTTTTTTTTGATATATCGACATCAGTCCATAAGGGTGGTGAGCTACGAGGAGGGCCCGCATCGAGATAGGAGAGACATCAATTCTCCCGTCCCGAACACGGAATCTCTTCGCAAACTCACAACATCCCTTATGAGAGATTCAACTCTTAGGTAGGGAAATGGTGACACCTATCTCTTCCAAAAGGAGTTGATAGGCTTTGGCAATCTGTGAGTCAGCTATAACTATGTCATCCCCAAGGATGGCATAGTTATAGAACTTCCTCCCTGGGTCCGCCTTTGAAAGTAGGATCAAATGTGGGAATCTCAACCAACCCGGCCCGCTTCAGACATTTGTTTCCTCCCGCCATCCATGTAATGTAGTTCAGCGCCTCTACCACCTGCCTCTCCCCGAGAAACTTACTCCTCATCTTTTGACTGACCGGGGAAGATCAAACACTTCAATCAATGTGAGATTCGTTAATGCCTCACTGAAGAATCAACCAGAATGCTTTCCATGGCCGACCCACTCCCCTCATAAAACACATTACCGATCGAGCTAAAAAATGGAATTGCACAGGATTCGTTGAAACTTAGTAGAGTGCTTTCAGAGTTCAAGGAATCGTATAAGGAAGACAAGACTCTATCCCCTGTCTTCCCTGCTCTCAGTCAGTCCGGTCAAGCAATCAAGGAAGCAAGCAACCCCTCAGTAGGGTCTGTCCTTTCCTTTCTTTTCTCTACGAGAAGAGGATGCGCACTGTAGGTATTCAAGAATCGCTTTTGGTCTATAGTGAAAGTAGGAATTGAATCTCATATTAATGAGATCGTTCTTCCGGAGAGTGAAGATAGAATTTCTTATTTATTGGTTGAGTCAGTGCGGTCTCATTCCTCGCATTCCGGGCAAGGAAGATCTCTACGTACTTGTCCAGTCCAGGACAACTGAGATCTTCCGGTCTGCGTGCGTGGGAGCAGCTCAAATAAAGAAAAGTCTGGTCTGGTCTGAATTCAGGCCCGGCCCGCCCGTCTGCTGCTAGATCCGGGAATGGCGCCAGGCGAGGGCGCCGCTATGCCCCGCTGCTCTGCTGCGGCCGGCCCCCGGACTATGCAAAAGAATCGAGGCCGGGGGGTCTCGCCCATAGTGGTTCCCCCCCGCCTTTGGTGATTGACCAAACAAATAGGCCTATATGCCCCTTAATGAATCGAATGGTCCTTCGACCCCTTCCATTTGATTCCGACGGCCGGCATAGATCTCATGAGACCCGCCCACTATTACTACGAAAAAAGCCCTGCCTTTTTCCTTCGCTACTAGGAGAGTCAGCAACTTCTATTAGCGCCGGACCTTGAGTTGAATTGATCGTGTCATGTGCAACGTCCATCAATGATGGTTCATTAATGTCCATTGATTTAGACTCCTTCTCCCTTCCCAACTACGAATAAGATCGAGAGGCTCGGAGATCTCGAACGAAGTGAAGTGAGAGGCATGAAGTTCTCGCCTAGACTAATAGGGCAAGCAAGGAGCAATCAAGCAAGCAAGCAAGCAAGAAAACGGGGCGGGGCAAGAAAACTAGGCAATCCAACTAAGTGGGGGCTTTCGCTAACGACTTTATTCGTAGCTGGAACAAGCACCGGACTTAGAGATAGATAGGGGCAGGATAAGGTGCTAGCGCGAAAGCCCTAGTCCTAAGGGCGCGTTAGCGCATCCGTTTTCTTGCTGGGTACGAAGTATCTCTCCCGTTAGGGAGAGGAATGAAAGAGCTCGAGCGAAGCGAGAGGAGCTAAAACAGCCCCCAAAAACCAAGAACGAAAACGGAAGCCTTTCGATTCACTCCCCACTCTCTCAACAATAAAGCTCGAGGGCGAGCTTTATTGTTGAGGGCAGGTCGGCCGGGTCTTTCCCTGTTGTTCTGTTCCCGCCACGAGAAAGACGCACAGAAGAGGTATGCCCAGCGCACGGAGGATCCTTTGAGAGTGTCTGTTGTCTCGGTAGGGAACTGTACGATCTTTTCCCCTATTGTATTGAATCAATAAAAAAAAGAGGTCAGTGCTACGGCCCTCTATTGTTTGATCCAATATTGACCGGGGACGAGCCCCGACTTCCATAGGTCCTTGGTTTGACCTCCCGTAGTGGTCCTTGCTTTTAATAAAGCGGAGCGGGGCCAATTTCTCGTACTTGCTCAGTGTACCCCCCTTTCGTCGAGTGCACCGCCCGGTTCACTGGGCTGTTGGCCTACCAAGCACTTGCCCGCTGCTCCTGCCGCCCGCCAAGCGGGCGGAGCGCTCGTTATCCTTACTGTTCTCTCTGCCGGGGCCCCCTCCCATTGCTCTAGCCATAAGCTATGGCAGCTCCAGCTCGAAACCACAGGGGCCCGCCCTGCGAGGCCAGAGTGGGCTCAGCGGTCAGGTCAGCCCCCATTCGAATTACGTTAGGGGGTCTTTCGCTTTTGCCAGATCTAGAGAGATACTACGAGTCCTCCGTCCCTGATTCCATCGCCGCGGCCATCTGGTTCACCGGTACTACCAAAAAGTCTCATGCTTACGTTACTGTTACTGATGGTTTTATTATCTTTTTCCACGAAGACCCCGGTCGTGCTTCTGGTTTCCATTCCCATCATCATATTGATGATAAATCTCCTCGCGCTCTGCCATAAGAACTTGGAGTCCGTATCATGGTGAAGGTAAGGTAACGCTGTGATTCTTGCTCAAAAAACAGACCGAACGCGTTCGAGTTATTGGCTCGTCCAACCCGGCAGCATTCATGAGTCGCTCGTTCAACTGTCCCTCGGAGACACGGTCGAGAAGTACCATGCATGGTTGCCCCCCGTCCTTTCTTGCTCTCGGTCCCACCCAGCAAGATACGGCTCAGCCAAAAAACGTGAGCAACAAGCAACGGATTTAGCGCACTAGCTTAACAGCCCTCGAGCTAACGCTCGAGCGACCCATTACGTTAGAAGGCCTCTCGCGTTGCCTTTATCTGATAGGGGCGGCGTAGCACGTTGCGCGTTAGACAACAAGCAACGAGCAAGAAAACGGGGCGGGGCAAGAAAACTAAAGCAGCAAGAAAACTACGCAAGAAAACGGCTGCAGCAATCAAACTAAAGCAGCAATCAAACTAAAGCAGCAATCAAACGGCTGCAGCAAGAAAACGGCTGCGCGTACTAACGCGCAACGGCTTTCGCTAACGGGCGCTAATTCCGTTGCTTGTTCGTACTAACGCCTTAAACTAAGTGGGGGCTTTCGCTAACGGGCGCCTTTATTCGTAGCGGGCTTGTTCGTACTAACGCCTTAAACTAAGTGGGGGCTTTCGCTAACGGGCGCCTTTATTCGTAGCGGGCTTGTTCGTACTAACGCCTTTACTAAACGTTAGCTTTCGCGCCAGAGCGCCTTTATTCGTAGCGGGCCGTTGCTTGTTGCGTACTAACGCCTTTAGTTTGATTGCCCCGTTTTCTTGCTTGCTAGCCGCACATACGTTTTCTTGCTCCCCTGCGCGAGCCTTATTTTCTTAGTAAAGTAAAGCTTTGGCTCCCTAAAGACTAAAGAAATGGATCAAAAAAGGGGGGACTTCTGCAACGGGCTATGCCACCCAAACCAACTGAGGGAAGTCGCATCAGCCCCATCGCAAGCACCTACAATGTCATGATCACATTGGTTTACCCTTTTTTCTTTGGTAGTTCAACGGACGGTCGCCCCTCCAACAATAAAAGGTATAAATATGGAAACTTCTCTGCCATTTGGATCGGAGAATTTATGGAGGAAATCGGGTTTTAAATTTCCAGAAACCACACGATTATATAGCCAAAGGGAATACGCCGCGCCTAAAATCATCCCAAGCGCTGCTAATGTGGCTACTAAGCTATTTCTTTGGAAAGCTCCTACTGAGATGGGAAATTCCCCGATAAAGCTGCTAGTACCAGGTGAACTCATATTGGCCAAAGTGGAAGAGAAGGAAATGGTAGAGAGATTCGGCATGGTGCTCACTAAACCTCCGTAATATCTAACAAGTCGAGTCTTATGTCGGTCATATAGAACACCAACACATAGAAAAAGGGCTGAAGGAACCAGTCCATGACTTAACATCGGTGGAATGCTACCTCCAATTCCCTGTATGTTCGATAGAGCCAAAGATTCCCCCCCCCCCACTGATCGGAGTACGTACGCCGATTACCCCCCGAACCGTACAAGATAGTTACCGCCTATCATACGGCTTTCTAACTTCACTTTTTTTTTCTGGTCGTTCCGCTCTGTCGATCGATGGTAGTATAAGAGATCTGTAACCCCCCGAAATTTTTTACATAAAGGTTCCTGCTTTCTACCCATAGTTAGCATGTATCTCCCCGGGTCATACTTGAGTATCACATCGTAGACCCCCACCCCAACTCTATCTTCCTTATCAGTGAACCGGAAATAGTGCATAGGTACTCTTCAATGCAGCGGGGACGAGACGACGTGACATACTACGATCACGTACAGAAGACCTTCGGCTCGGCAATATGGAACCTCTCAACAGCTCTCGTTCCTTTATGAGGTCCTCTCGGGATAGGTAGGCCCGGCCCAAGCCTTTCCCCTCCCCCCGACCGCTGGGATTTTGCTTTCCTTATCTACGTGCGCACTGCGTCAGCACTGGCGAAAAAGAGGTCGGCTTTACTGAAGAAGAAGGGGCGGGCCGGGTGCTTGTGGGCCCCCTCTGCAGCAAGTGCTTGTTGGACCCCCACCCCCGTTTCCCGGGAGGGGGCCGGGCTGTGTCTCCCCAGCGGCCGGCCAGTGGCGGCAGAAAACGAACTCGGGGGGGCTCCGCGCGGTTCGCGTTTTCTTGTGTTGAGAGCTTCTCATTCTCTTATAGAAGCTCGCGTCCACGCCGGGCCCTTCGGGTGTCATATTTTGGCCGAGTTTACCGTACCTCCGGCCCTTATGTTACGCGACCCGTAAGATTTTGTTACGTTCCACCGCTGTTACGCCAGAAATAAAAGGTTCCACACGAGCTCCCGTTCTGCGGCGTGGTGGCAGGACCGATAGGGGATTGGCTCCGGGTGTAGATAGGGTCAAATCCGTAGGAGTCATGCAAATACATAGGCCCCTTCCCCTCTCTTTTAGATGAATGGGGTGGTTTATTTAGAAGGCGTTTTCCGATCTACGGTCCCTCGGAGCGAGGGGTTAGGCAGGTAGTATGGGCCCTCTGACTTCCAGCTATGTGTTGTGCGGCTCCCGCGAAGCGAATGAAGGGAAGCTCGAAGAGCTTACGGGTGAGCTTACGCTTACTCTCAGCCTCTTTGATTGGTAGGCGGGCGGGCTAAGCCCCCTACTTAAGATTCCATTCATAAGGGTCATTTTCTGTTGTCGTGACGCTTTGGTTAGGCCGACTACTAGACTACTAGAGGCTACTTCTAGCTTCTATGGGGGCCTTTCCACTTTGTTGGTGTGTAGTTCTTTTTTGTATTGGTACTGAATGAACATATCAAACAAAGGCGAGCAGTATAAGCCCTTCTCCGGCCTGGGAAAAGCAGCGAACTCTAGAAGCTAGGGCGTTGTTCACCTTTTGACACGAACACTATTCCGTTCTCAGCGGAAACCCGCCTTAGAGATTGAACGTCGACTTATCTTATTGCCGTTCAATCTAAGACAGCGCTGATAGCTTGTAGTGAACAGCCCCCTTATTTATGAAACCAACCGAAAGAAAGCAGCCTTTGGTACTTAACTTAAGTGGTTAAGGGAAGCCTTGCTACTTTGTTTGAAAGCCGTTTGCTTGTTGCCAAACCCTTCGCCTTTCTTTTGAATCAAAGTAGGTCGGGGGAAGCTACCGCTTATACGACAGCTCTGCTTCCTCGTCTTGCTTCTGGCAAAGCTTCTACTTTGCTTGCTTCTCTCGCGCTTGGCTTGCTTGCGCGAAGGCTTAAAGTCCTTTTCGCTAGGTCCAAAAGCTTCCGTCAAAGCGAAAGATCTGATCCAACTGAAATCCCGCATATATATTGAGCGCAGCGGATATGCGGCTACGGCTAGGCGATCATATCGTGCCGTGCCATAAAACCATTTTATATGTATAGAGAGATCCCCTTGATATACAGATAGAATAGATGTTCATGGATAGACAGACATTCCATTGATTCTTAGTTTTGGGGCTGAAAAAAGCTCGTCGATCAAAATGAATCATTCTTATGGTCTCTCTTCGCCCCCCGCCCCGAAACTGACCCACAGCACAGCGCCCATTCGCTTCGCGCGCGGGAAGGCAACGAAGTTCAGTTCATGAGACCGCGGCGGAGTGGAGCAGCCGCGACACTTCGTGTCGCCTTACCTTAGCTGGATCTCGCTGGTGCCACCTAAACGGTAGGTAGGCGACGGATGTGTGACGTTTGGAGTTGTCGTTCGTGCACCTGTCCCCAATGGAAGAATGAGTGATCCGTTCCCCTGCGGATCATGGCCTTACCACTCGGTCCCCGATGGCCAGCGGGGGATTCGGTATAGCAGCTTACGCCCGTTTGCGCTGCGCGTTCCCGCTGGACTGGACACGTGTTAGCTGTAGGAAGTATGGTTCCGAAAGTGACTTCGGTTCGCCAGTTCAGGCTCAACTCCTCGCTTTACGTTAGCGGACCTACAGGTCGGGCCGGGGCTCTGCGCTCTTTCTTTCTGTGTGGGACGATGCCGGGGAGAGAAGGGAATGCGTCGAGGCGGCGAACAACAACAACACAACTACATTTTGTTTTCATTTTCCCTCCATCCATGAGATGAGCCCAGTGCATTGGACCGATGGATAAGAGAACTGAGCTGGCCTAAACTTGGGCGCTCTACGTACGATGTAGACTCCATCAATCAGATACATATCGATTTCTTTCTGATGGATCAAGAATAGATAGTTGTCTTATCAATAGATAGAAATAGGAGATTTCCCCTTATTATTGATGGATTCCCTCTCTATCATTCCTACTCTTTCGATCTATCAGAACGGATCAGGCTATCTATCAATCGATTTGAAAATAGCACGTTCATCTCGCTTTTCGTTCATTTCCGCCACGCCAACATAGCCACCATAATAAGAAGCAGGCGAAGCAGCTAGAAGCTGACGCTTCTAGCCCTTGAATTCTTATTCACGAATGAATTGGGAAAGCCAACAGAAAGATTCGATTCTGACTTCGTAGAGCCGGTGCTGCTGTTGCCTGCGCGTAGGGCCCACTCCCGTCCCGGGGCGATAAGGGGCTTTTGTTTTTGGAACAGACGGCAATGTTTTGCTGACGCCTTGAATCAAGCTTTTGTTGCGACATGCTATGTTTTCTCCCCCATTGCTAGTAGGTGGATGGGTCGCACGCCCGGCACACATGTTTTGGCCTTGTGTGTCCATAACTAAAAATAGGTGACCTAACGGCCGCCGCCCGACTAAACATACCAATAGTCACCAGATTCATATGGGCTACTGAGGAGTAAGCAATGATCTTCTTAAGATCGATCTGTCTTGAAGTGGTCAAGGAAGTATATATTATAGCAATCGCGCTTGGAGTATAAATGAAAGGAGTGGAACAAAGTGTCGCTTCGGGAAACATGGGTATTGAAAATCTTAAAAACCCGTGGGTTCCCAATTTTGAAGGAATTCCTGCCAAGATGACGGATCCTGCCGTAGGTGCCTCTACATGAGCTTCGGGTAACCAAATATGAACTGGTACCATAGGCACTTTGACGGCGAAAGAGGCGAAAGAAGCAATCCATAGAAAGATTTGGCGCCGCTCACTAAATTCTGTGGTTAATGATATTTGTAAATCGGTGGTCCCTGTTTGGAGAAGAATCAACAGAATAGCTAATAGCATAAAAACAGATCCAAGTAAAGTATAAAGGAAAAACTGATATGCTGCCTTGATCTTTCTTTGTCTCGAACCCCATACCCCTATAATAATGGTAGAGTAAGGGGTGGCCCCAAAGCGGAATTGACCGGTGGTGGTTGGTCGAAGCTCCAGTAGGTAGCCACTCCCTTCTCAGGGAACCGTACGTGAGACTTCCGCATCATACGGCTCCGTCCCGAGCTTCCGTCGTCGGCCCTTGTCATTAGACCACTATCTATGCATGTATTTTCAGCCTGGACTCTCGAATCTTTTGCTTCTCGGGTGGTGGCGAACAATGCAGCTTGCGTTGCGGGAGATGCCCGCCCTACGGGCCCGGCCCGCTTCTCGCCCGAAAGAACCGCTCACTAGCTAGCCGGACTAGTGGGGGGCCCTATCTGGAGACATACTGAAAACCATGCCTTTCGAACCGCCCGTCTTCCAAATCAAAAAATGGGCTCGTTGGGAAGAAAGATGGAGTGCGGCCTGTAGAGCACATGTAACGCACAGTCGGGTTGCTCACGCAGCGGATCTCTCTCTCTCTATATATCTGTAGATATATATAGAGAGAGATGTGAAAGTAATAGCCTTATGTTATGGCCGCCCCCCGACTTACGGCTTTACGCTACTACTACTGTGATGTGAGCGGTTCCAATTGGTTTTTGTTTCCCAATTATCCTGGCCGGAACTTGTATGCAGCACTTGTACGAAGGTGCATGCATAAAGGTTTGGAACTCTTTTCTTATCTGAATCTTAAAGAAAGGACCCTACCCTATTCTCGAACCCTCTACCGAGCTTAACCCTGCCCGCATTTCCGTTTGAAGGGGGCCAAAGAAATGTCTCCACCTGCTGCCAACAGTCTTTCTTCGGAATTCTACTGAACGGGTCGATCCTCCCCTCCCGTTTGTTTTAGCAACTTATCCGTTGGTCTCCTCACCAAGAGCTCCCCGGCGACGACAGAGGAACCAACCCGCCTGCTGTGGCGGGGCGGCTTTTTTGTTTCACAATAAGACCTGGACGATTATCCCTACCCTCGGTAGCTTACGAGTTTACGTCCATCCCTGGTTGGGTACAGTTTCCTTTCGATTTCTCCCTTGTAGCCGTTACCCGAATTCGCGCAAGTGTGTCCACACCCCCCAAACAGACTTGACGAGGAATCCATTCTCGCGAACAAACACAACCCCTACACACACCTAGGAGCACCCCTTCCTGCATATCCATACAAGACCCGAGTAGGCGGGTCGAGGTCCTACGAGGTACCCACTACTCGGAGTACCATCCCAAACAAAAGGAAAAAGATGTGTCTGTCAGGTTCGGTTCGTCTTAGTTGGGTTGGGCGGGTTCGACCAGAAATGCTATGCTTACGCACAAGACTACCCCTCTTCCCGAAAGCTTCGCGGGGACTACTTTACGACGACGGACGACCGCCCGTAGGGGGTTTACTGCACAAGGCCCCTGCAGAGGAAAAGCTTTATCCCAGCGAATATAAGATGCTCAGCTCCGCACAACATAGGGATTAGCACGCTTTCGGGAAGAACATAGAATAGTAGAAGATCCAGCATGCGGAACACGGCGATCATTAGAAATTCACGAATTAGAGATGCTGTAATATACTCTTTCCCATAACTTCTCATACCAGACCAACCCACTAAAATGCAAATAGGGATCAGAAATGTGGTCAATATCACGAAGAATAAAGAGATACCGTCTATACCCAAATTCAAATTTATGTTTTCATAAGGAAGCCATCGAAGGCTTTCCACAAATTGAGATTTGGCCGTAGAAGGATCGAATTGTATCCGAGGAACAGGGGAATACAAAAAAGTAATAAGAGAGGCACACAGACCAATCAATCGTATCGGTCGTATTCTTGAATTTGGAATGAAAAGAGGAATAATGCTTCCTAGCACGGGACACAGAATAGGACCACTTAGATCAGAATAGCATTCACAGAAATGTTCTAACATAGAGTATAATCGAACATTGAAGAGATTAGTTGACAACAGTCAAAATCAAAAGATGGGCGCCTAATTCCAATACAATAGGGGTCTCTCAGTGCAAGCAAGTCAGCTGAACACCGTGATTGATGAGTGAGTGGGTAGGTGGGTTAGGTGCACCTCTCGTCCAGTGGGAAGTCTTGAGGCTAGTCTCCTCCCCCCCTTTTTCTACTTTTCCTCTCTCCTTTTGTTTGTGCTTCTACCCGGGCTTTTCATTTTTATAGATTTCTAGAGACCCGAGGCAATTTTTCTAATAATTTATGTAGCCCGAAAAAAAAATCCAGGATGACGGCTTTCATTCAAAAGACGAGTAAGGGACGGGGAGGGGGAGGCTCCCGAAACCAAACGAGAAACGACTAGAAGGAACATAGGAATTAGCACCATTCCTATGAGTGCTTTTGTCTCGAAAAGCCAACCGGGCAGGCAGCCCTCTCTCTCTATCTCGGTCTCGGTTTAGCATCATATATCGATCTGGAGAAAATTTGGATTGGTTGTAATGCGGATTAAGGAGCTGCTCCTCCATGCTGTGGCTGTGGAGGTGGGGGCTGTCGCCGCCTGATAGAGGCGGAAGCCGGGGCCACCGGAGCTATCTGCGTCGAGTGTGTCGATTGAAAAAGGAGGGGAGACAACTCAAATGCCAGCGAAAAAATCGCCGTTCAAAATGCAATTTTTCTAAGATTCATTGCTCGATTTTGCATGCTCTGCTCCCAAAATGCGGAGAGACTTTCGAGGGCAGATCCGGGTTGGTTGGTCCGGAAAGTCATGGGAGAGGCGGGCTAAGTGAAAAAAGAAATAATATACTGGTGCTACTATAGAATCTTATGAATCACGCACGGCACACTTTCTATATCTCCTCCGTATACAAGGTGAACAGCTTACAGCACAGCGTGTTCGCCACCACACCGGCTGGCTAGTGCATTGGCCTTACCGTAATAGGGCCGAGAAGTATGACCCTTCGATTATAACGCCCCATATCTCGTGACACGCGGAGCGTGGCATTTCCTTTTATAAAGTCAGTATAACTTCTAACCAAAAGAATCATTCTTTATTTTATGAAAAAAGTACCATTCAAAGAGTGCATTGCCTCTTTGAGTGAAGAAGAGAAGGGCTTTGTATAGACACCCTTGAGCCATGTTCGTCGCCCTAGGCTCACCATTATTTCATTTCATTCGATTTATTGGTTCTAGCTCCAAAGAACATATACATGGAGCTATGTCGACTTATGTACGTCTCGTTGACCAAACGATCAGGTATACCACGCCACGTATCATCCCCTCTTTCTATAGAATAGAGGAGAGATAAAGAAAAAGAAAAGATATAGCGATCGTGCCGTAAGACCTTGTTCGTTTCTACTTGACGTTATTTTCCTCGGTTTTTTTACATTACATAAGGCCTTTAGGGCTTACTTAGCGCTTGCGCTAAGGATCTAATCAGAGTCAAACTTGGATTTGAAAAAAAAAACCTTTCCGCCGGAATACAAGTGTACTCCTTGATCTTTAGTAAAGGCGGATTAAGCCAAAAAAAACATTTTTTTTTTCGAAAAAAGTCTCAACGTCCTCGTTGAGAGTCGCTCTGCGAGACGTCCAGTAGTCTCTGACTTGGTCTTCGAATCGTAAGTTTCAGCCCGTTCCCAGCGCTCTCAGGTTGGCCCTTCTACTTGACTAAGTAGTATTCTACTCGTGCAGTGGGTGTATGGGCTAGCCCCTGGTGCGGTCAGCTATGATATACTATTTTTCTTTCTTCTTTAGTAAGTTCATCTACAACATCTGGTGGTGCCCTCGTGGGCACGTTCCTCTCTGGGTCGGTCTGGTCTAATCGAAGTCAACTGACTCACATGGAATACGGGGTGAGTTTTCACCGAGCTGATCGCTTGAGTCTATAGGCTACCTCTCCTATCCGCTTCTCTACAAGGTCTACTTTCTTCTTCCTTCAGACCGGGCCAAGCCTTTAGGTTGTTTAAGTAGGTGGTTTGGGCTAGGTCGTTGCGCTCCTGCCACGTCTTGGCAAAGTAGGCTGATGGGCAAGCCCCCTCCTGCCGCAATGGTGTGGGGCGTCAGAGGCTGTTGCCCCGTGGCCAACTCGAAGGGGCTGAAGTTCGACGCAGAGCTTTTTGGTTGTTAATTTATAGCAGCACTGAGCAACATCCAACAGCTCCAGTCCTTCTGGTTGGTTTGCACTAAAGTGCCTTAAGTAGCCCTCGAGGAGTCCGTTTATTCTCTCTGTCTGAGCTTTCAAAGATATACCGACCGTAGGTATCTTACTTACCATCAGATACCGACAGTCGTCTTCTAACATTACCGACCTTTAAATATCGGGTTTTCATCAATTTCCCATAACATAAAAAAAAGCTCTTTTCATCATCAGAAACAACCTTATTTCTGAGACCTCTTGCATTGCATTACCATAACGAAATAAAAAATCAAAAAAAGCTCTTGTGACTCGGAATGAACCTTTCTCGGTGGAAGAAAGGAATAGCGATGGATTCCTATGAAGCATTCAGGAACAAGAAGATTCAATCGGACGACGAATTCTTACGTGGTCCAAGGAAATCAAAGGTCCGCTTCCACGATTTCATCTATATCGAATCTTAATATCAGAATAGCTTATATAGTCATGATTCAATTCAGGTCCACTGACTTTTTCTTTCTTTCTCTTCGGATCTGATTGGAACATTGGAGAAGTAGGAAGACTTTGGCGGGCGATTCATAATGGGTATCTAGAATATCTATGTTCTAGGACATAAAATATGAATAATGAAAGATGAGGAGGAGTATACCCTGTAGTGACATAGCAGTTCTCCTAATCGACTACTTATCATCAGAATGAACATTCAACTTAAAAACTAATAAAAAAAACTACTCGCCAGGCGGTTACCTTTTTTTTCATATCTATATTCTCTGCTGAAAAAATGAAGACTAAGTAAGAAAGGAAAATATAGAAGCCCTTTTTTATCGGATTTGAATCGATGACTTACGCCTATTTCTTAGGGCGTTTAAAGAGCGTGACTCTACCGCTTAGTTAAAGGGGCCCATGTTATTTGATTCAATTCATGAATTAGCCCACTATTTACTGCATAATAATATATATATAATATATAGTATATCATCCGTGTCTCTGTTACAACACGGCGAAACTAAATGGTTCGAATGAAATCCAAAATCAAAAAAAGCATTTTTAGGCTGTACACCTAATTTTCCTGGGATTGTAGTTCAATCGGTCAGAGCACCGCCCTGTCAAGGCGGAAGCTGCGGGTTCGAGCCCCGTCAGTCCCGATGGATAGAAATCCAATAAAAAAATACATCAAGGAGTCAAAAAAAATCAAAAAAAGAGAGGACGAGATTAACTACCCAGGACTGCCTGCTTCTTCATGACAAGGAAGAATTGGACAAAAAGGTTTTTGCACTTGAATCAGCTGTTCGGGAGGTATCGCCTGCAGTCTCTTTCCGGAACTAATTCCTTCTAGGTTGCATACATATATAATCAGGGCTTCTTTGAAAGAAAATGCCTTGTTAGCCATTGAATCATCATCGCTTGGGAAAGAAGGGATTGTTGGATGCCCATAGGATAGAGAATAGGAAGATAAAGATCTTAACGCCCGGTTCACTTGAAGAGGCCCCTCTATTCTTTTATTTACTTTACCTGCTCCTCGATGCGGAAAATAGGCTTCGGGATACTGTTTGCGCACGAATGCATTTTTATATCGTAACAATCACTTCAAGCAGTGCTATCTCCGGATGCAAGTCCATTCTTGGACTATATTTTCGCCTTTTGATATAATGCGGAGTGGGATAGCATTTTCTATTCTTTCTTCTTGGCGGATTTGAGAGCCTTCAAAAGCTTTTTACTATCGAAAAGAGGCCTTATAGCCCGAGTCCTGGACCACCGGAATGGACAGACCGCAAGTCAACAAGCAAGAGATCCTTTCCACTTTCCAGATGCAAGAGTTGCGACCGACTAAATAAATTCGAAATAGAGGCCTATATAAGCTTACTAATAAAGGGACCACTTGGAACGACTGACAGAAGAAAGAAAAGGGGGGAGGGCACAACTAGTAGTTCCCACACCCATTCCCATTCCATTATGGATTCGAATAGCTAAGCGAAGGCTGAATTGAATGGACGAGTAAGGACGGGAATACGAGCTCAGCTCCTTCATCTCCTTCTTTATATACGTCGCCATGTTCCGATCTGTCGTTGACGGCCGATTTCAGACAAGAAGAAATGGTAGCGGGGGTCAAGGGAACGAATTCACCCGCACTTCATTCAGCTTCCGGCGATTGAGTGGACGAAGGGATCACGGTAGATTGATATATTCATAGTACCGCTCCCGCTACTCATAGAAGTGCCTAGCTCAATGGATAAGGGAGAACATCAGCGGAGGACATAGAGTGTCTTGCCGTCAGGTACGAAACTGAAAGGGCTTAGCCAACGAGTTCAAATGCTGAAAAAATAAGTGAATGAGCATTGGGCCGCTCAAAGACCATAGGTACTATGAGTTCCGGGGTCGGACAGCGAAAGAAAGAATTTTAAGCTTTAACTTAATTCCATCCTCTCCCTAGCAATCTTCACTGCTCGAGCAGCTTCGCACGTTGCTTGTTGTGCTAACGAGCGCGAAAGCTAACGTTTAGTAAAGGCGTTAGTCACGAACAAGCCAGCTACGAATAAAGTCGCCCGTTAGCGAAAGCCCCCACTCAGTTTAAGGCGTTAGTACGAACAAGCAACGGAATTAGCGCCCTAGCGCGAAAGCCCCCACTTAGTTTAAGGCGTTAGTCACGAACAAGCCAGCTACGAATAAAGTCGCTCTAGCGCGAAAGCTAACGTTTAGTAAAGGCGTTAGTACGAACAAGCCCGCTACGAATAAAGGCGCCCGTTAGCGAAAGCCCCCACTTAGTTTAAGGCGTTAGTACGAACAAGCAACGGATGAGCGCTCTAGCGCGAAAGCCCCCACTTAGTTTAAGGCGTTAGTACGAACAAGCAACGGATGAGCGCCCTAGCGCGAAAGCCCCCACTCAGTTTAAGGCGTTAGTCACGCGCAGCCGTTTTCTTGCTGCTTTAGTTTTCTTGCTGCTTTAGTTTTCTTGCTGCTTTAGTTTGATTGCTGCAGGAGTTTTCTTGCGTAGTTTGATTGCTGCATCCGTTTTCTTGCCCGCCTAGTTTTCTTGCCCCGTTTTCTTGCTGGAGAAGGAGACAAAGAAAACATTCTTCCAAAGCATACGGCTTTCTGGTCTTTGAAAGGGGCGTAATCGGAGTGAAGTCAACATGCAGAGAATTGTCCGTATGAGAAGATTCGGCTTAAGCCGGTTACGGTAAGCAAGTCGATTAGCATAGAAAAGTAGGAGAATAAAGAGAAAGAGCTCTGATAAAAAGAGAACTAGTTTCAGGGTAAGATCAAAGCTCCCGGGGCAAAATCTCCTAGGTAGGGTGTGGCTAAGCATCCTGAAGGTTCCCGTCGGCCAACCGCGGAACAGGAGCATGCTTTTCTTCGTCGTCAGCTAGCGGACGCAAGCAGAGTGGGACCTTCTCCGATAGTCTCTTTCATCATAATATGTGAAAGCTTGCCAGGAATGAAGTAGGACCCTGCGAATCGGGACTTGGTCTAGGAACACATCCTGGCCCCAATCCGTATGACTTAGAGCTCTTCTGGGGCATTCAGATTAAGTAGCCCGGACGGGCCAAGTAAGGATTGAAACTTTCCCCACCGGGGAAAAAGAAGGACGAATGAATAATAAACAAACCTTGGGGGCGAACCTTCCCTACCAACCAAGACCGACTAAAAGTAATAAAGGAAGATGACCCCTTAGACTAGGGGCACCGCCGGCTTGTTTCTATCGTAGTATATCTAGACTGGGACAACCACGGCTCCCCAGAACCGAGGCGGGGGAACCTCATTCATTCTTACGCATGCACCTGTACTCTTTATAGCATTTGCTTCCATTCCAGCCTTATCTGGACCAAGGAGGAGGCACCGGAACTAACAGACACTTCGTCCTCTATCATAGTATAGATACCGCCTGCAAACGAAATCCTCTAACGGGCGAATGTAACACCTAGCCCCCCTTTCGCATTCATCTTACTGCCACCTCCTTTTCATTAAGCGAAAGGGAGGAAGGCAGATGCCGAGTACCACAGCCACTAGGAAGCAGCAATAGACCACAGCATAGTAGATGCGAAGCTTACAAACTAATCCCCTATCCGGGAAAAGAAGCGGGTCAGCATTCACCCAAGGGGCTTACTTATTCATTTGAACGCATACAACAATTAGAGACTGAGCTAACAACTGATTACACAAACGGGGAAATACAGAATTGTTTGTACATAGGGCGCTGCTCCGGTGAGTTGAAGAGAGTAAGACACCGAGGCTTTTGTGCCTACCTAATTAGGCTTCCTTCCTAAAGTGTGGTCTAAACCGGTACTGAAGTTCCATAGACTAAAGTAAAAGACGAGCTCGGTTCCTCATTAAGAATCCGCACACAGGTGGTAAATAAGTTGGCGATTCTTACATTAAGTAGCCGACCAAACCGCGAGTCTGAGCGCCCTACCTTCCCTTCATCTGCCGGCTTGGATCTTGTATTGAGATACCTACACGACTTTCTTTCCTCTCTCTCTGCAATGGGACCTTTCACACCTTAGACTCCATTGCATCTATAAATATAGAACTATAACCTTGGTTGGCATCGACGGACTCGACTCACTAGCGAAGCGACTAACCCGAAGGGCAGCGAAGTAGCACTCATAGGTCAGCATCAGGGAAAGTACCTAACCTTACACGCTTCCCGACAGAACTGCTATTCAAGGTAAGAGTTATAATCGAAGGGAACAGTTACAAGTAGCTTTGCCCGAACTGGTCTTCTTTCTTTGACTACTGCAGTGCTCTCTTCTTCACTCTTCACACAGCAAAGGAGAATTTCCTACTCGTATAAGGATAAGGGTTCTTAGACTGACTTTCGAAAGGAAAAAAGACAAGGTCTGAGATTCTTTCTGTTGTAGTTGAGAGAAAAGCTAGCGCGGGAAACTCTTAGCTTAGCATAAAGCTTATCGAGCTGGTCTGGTAAATAAAGAAGCCCCTTTCATTGCTGCGGGTGGACAGAAGAAGTACGATATGGATTGCCAGAATTCCTTCCTATTGAAGGAAAGGGGCCCCATCTATCCTCTTTCAAAACAAGTTGCCATCTAGGCGACTTGGGAAAAGAAATTCCTTCCACCTCGTGGTTGACAGTAAAAAGATGAAAACGGAATGCCCGTCTGAAATACTTCTTTATTCTTCCTTTTTTTGTCTTGCTGAACTCTGGCTATAGATCGGATAAGTTGGCTGCTGTGGGAGCGAGTCCTTCCTTTTCTATTAATTACTCCAAGATCGAAAGGTATGAAGGATCTCGTAACTGATCCCTGGAATGTTCATCTTTGTTGCCTAAAGGAAATCCAGTTTCCATGCCAACCAGGAGCTCAAATACAAATATCGAAGGTAGGTGGTAAGATGCCTGTGGGCAAGCCCTTGAGCTACTGAAAGAAGGAGTGCCTATCAAGTTATTATGCCGAGAAGTGTCGTATTGGTATCCGGATGCGTCCCCCTGAGCTATTCTTCTTTTAAAGCATCCCGAGAGCATCCTGCTTATCGAACTTTTTTGCTTTTTTGACCCAAGAAAATCAAGTTTCTTCTCGCTCCTCTCACATCATATTTTGGTGTGGTGGTACGCCTCTGTAGTAGTGCTGGAAGTGATCTTTGTTGGTGGGTAATAGGTACGCATCCCAGTCTGTGAATACATCTTCTGGCATTATACTTTTTAGGTCTAGTCTTCCATTACCGGCAGCGGTAGTAACATAACGTGTGTAGCTTTTCGGTGGCTAGCATTGGTTAGGATGTTAAGCGGATCATAAGAGAAGTGAATGCTATAAAGAGTACAGGTGCATGCGTGCGAATAATAGTAGAGGTGGAAGGGGTGGTAGGAGCTAGTTGGCAACCAAAAGCAGGGGAACAAGTAGGGCAGTTGACCACCCCGAAAGCAGGGCAAGTAACCCAAAGCATCGGCTTGGAAATAGATTGGTAGGAGGTTTCATCTCTATTGTTCTTTTCCCTCCGGCTTTGAACTAGTTGTTGACTCAGTCTGGTAGTGTCCCCTTGTGTGGTATAAGGGGCTTGTAGCTTTCAATGTCTTCCTTTCAACAAGACTTTTCCGTCTTCTTTAGCCGACATCGCGTAGCTCTCTCTTTCATATAGGGTACCATCCCTCACATCCGATTCTCGAACTCAGACAGACGATTCTATCTTATTGGCTTATGAAAGTGCCCAAGAACTAAGAGCGCATTCTCTTACTTTCCTTCGAGAAGGCAGGGTTTGAAGGCAAGGCGATCTTGAAGATTTTGTCGCAGTCCCACTACGCGTAAATAGATGGGAATAGCTCCAAGCCCAGCTTTCGAAGCACGTGCCCCCTCTTCCGATTAACGCACCAAAGAATCTGTTTTGCTTCGTGAGAAAGGGAGTATGTTAGATAGAAAGAGCTACAAAAGGTGTATCGGATATATTATTCCATATAGGAATGAAGAAAGGCCATGATAGGAAAGTGAAGTGACTTCCGGGGCGAACGATACGGTTCGGTTTAAGGTAAACTAACCCCTTAACTCTTGGAGCTAAAGGTAATTGCCTTATCTTATAGAATTGATCTTGTTATCCTTTGCTTTCTAGAGGAAAGCAGTGAAAATTCCTTTTGGAATTCCATTTCTAAGTCTTTGACTGTAAGAAGCCAGGTTAGTATAGAGTACTAAAACTAAAACCTGGGAAGCAGATAGGACCTGATATAACCTGAAGACAGGAAAGGTTGTAAATGGATGTTACCTCACCCTCCTATTTTATCTTTTGTACTTTCCTTGACTATTAACTACAGATTGGTTTCAATTGAAAGCTATAGTCCTGATACTACGTTAAATCATAGGATATAAAAAGAATCCCAGTAAACCAGCATTTCACAGCTTTCTTCAATCCTCGCTTCGCCTTTATCTGATAGGGGCATAAGGACAGTCTTCCTGCCTATGTCCATACCTTCCACACTTGAAACAAATAAGATTGAATCCCTCATATTCAACTTGAAACAAATCATTAAACACCAAGGACCAATTTCCTCCTCAGATCCACTTCCACGCACACTCTGGCATATCTCCCTCTCTCTGTCTTCGCATTATCATCTTCCATCTGTGACAGAGTGTTCTCGTCGATTTTCAAAGCTCTTCCGATCTTGTTACCCAGCCGCCATAGAAAATGTCTGTTATAATAATGCAAGGGAATGTTACGGACTCTAACCCAAATAGGAGTCTTACCAAGTGAGTTATAGCACGGGTTGAAACTAGGGTGCCATCGCAGAACGACCAGATAATGTCCTAGTTCGACCCATGGGCCTTTCGTCAACACACGTATGTAGTCGTTGTCATCATCAAACCGAGCTATGAAGTAGTTGTTTTTCCACATCTATTAACTCTAAGTTCTGGATACCCCATAGACGTTGGACCCTCGTCTTCAGCATTCTGAGGGATATATATACTCCTCCCCAACAACGTGAGAACAAGGGCTTTTTTCCAAGGCTGGCAATATTCGACTAGTTCCTCATGGGTTATATCCACATACGGATATATTTCCCTGAGCTTCATGCTTTCTTCCGTTATAGCTATTTCCTTCACTTCAAGATCATCGAGCAGAACTTCATCCGCTTCCTCATACAAAACATTATCAGTCCCATTAAATCCCACCACAGAGTCCCTATAAGACAAAAAATTGCCTTTTAATAGGAACATTGTGATTCCCCGGTAGATTCTCCTTCGAAGCCCCTGGTCCCTCCATCTTATTCAGACTAGGGCAGAGTCTTTTCTCTACGGAGAGAATGTCTCACATTCGGCATATCCGTTTTTCATATCGATCGATAAAGAGGAGAGTGGTCTTACCGCTTTTATCAAATAACCTTAGCTTGCTTGATTTGCTTTTTTCTTTCTATTTCTAAACAACTCATGTTGAAAAGTGTAAGTATGAAATGTTGTGTTGTATGTGGAGATCTTGTTTTCAAGTTCTGTTAGGTTCTTAGTAGCAGTCGGCGACCTTCTTGATTCTTTCTTTTACTTCACATAGCTTTTCGTCTCCTTGATAGCTGGCAGTTCTCCAAAAGTATGAAAAGCTGGAGGACTTTGTACCAGCCATTCCAGTGTGGTTGAATTTTGTTCAACAGCCCAAGGAATGTTCGCCCTTTTTGTTTTGTTATTTCCACTGCTTGAAGTGATTGTTACGACCACGAAGAAACGACGAATCCCAACTACGGATATATAAGAGCCAAAACTGCTAAGGGCATTCCATCCAGCGTAAGCATCTGGATAATCTGGAATGCGACGTGGCATACCCGAAAGCCCTAAGAAATGCATGGGAAAGAGGGTCGGATTAACCCCGAAAAAAGTGATCCAAAAATGGATTTGACCTAAAGTTTCAGGGTATGTCCGACCAAAGATTTTACCCACCCAATAGTGAAATCCTGCAAATAAAGCAAAAACGGCTCCCATAGAAAGTACATAATGGAAATGTGCAACCGCATAATAAGTATCATGTAGAGCAATGTCTAGCCCAGAATTTGCCGGGACTATTCCAGTGAGTCCTCCTATGGTGAACAAAAAGATGAACCCTACAGCAAATAACATGGGTGTTTTGTATTGTATCGAACCCCCCCACATGGTAGCGATCCAACTAAATATTTTAATTCCAGTGGGGACAGCTATGATCATGGTAGCTGCGGTGAAGTAGGCACGGGTATCAACGTCTAAGCCCACAGTAAACATATGATGAGCCCAAACAAGAAATCCAAGAACACCTATACTGATCATGGCATAAACCATGCCTAGATACCCGAAGACCGGTTTTCCCGAAAAAGTCGAAACGATATGACTTATGATACCGGATCCAGGCAGAATGGGAATATACACCTCTGGATGACCGAAGAACCGAAAGAGATGCTGGTATAATATTGGGTCTCCCCCTCCTGCGGGATCAGAAAAGGTTGTATTAAAGTTTCGATCGGTTAATAACATGGTAATTGCCCCTGCCAGTACCGGAAGTGATAATAAAAGTGGGAATGCTGTTACTGGAACGGACCACACAAATAGGGGTGATCTATGCATAGTCATTCCAGGTCCACGCATGTTGGAGATAGTTGTTATAAAATTGATAGAACCTAAAATGGATGAAACACCAGATAGATGAAGACTAGAAATTGCTGAATCAACTGCTCCTCCAGAATGGCTGGTAATACCACTTAAGGGCGGATAGACCGTCCACCCAGTGCCGCTACCCACTTCTACTAAGGCTGAGCTTAATAGGAGCAAGAGACTTGGTGGCAACAACCAGAATGAAATATTATTTAATCGTGGAAATGCCATGTCAGGTGCACCTATCAGAATCGGAACAGACCAATTACCAGATCCACCTATCATCGCCGGCATAACCATAAAAAAGATCATTAAAAAAGCGTGAGCCGTTATTAAAACATTATAAAGTTGATGATTCCCACCAAGAATTTGATCGCCGGGTCGTGCTAATTCCATACGAATCAATACTGAGAAGCATGTGCCCATCACTCCAGCAATGGCACCGAAGATGAAATATAGAGTCCCTATATCCTTGTGGTTAGTGGAGAACAGCCATCGGACCGGATTTGTCATCAATTTGTTTTGATTTCGTTTCCTTCCTTATCAGAGAGGGGCCCCTTAGGGAGCGGGGCTTATTTCTTGAAAAAGGGGGAGTGAGAGGGGAAGGAAGAATGGAAAGGGGGGTGGGGAAGGTCCGGAAAGCCCTCACTTTATTGATGGGACATTTTGATCCCCTTTTCTTTCCTCCCCCCCCCCCCGGTTCTGGTTCAGGAAAGGGTCAACGCAAGGATCTTACTTCGAAGCAATCTCTGGAGTTTTCCCTTATCCGAACGGGTCTTGCAAGAAAATAGGATTTCATATTGAGCTCCAAATATACGCTATTGGGATAGGATGGTTCCTACTAGCTCTCCCCCCTAAGAACCGCACGTGCGAGTTCCCCCGCATACGGCTCAAGTGGCGAAGGCCCTTTCCTTCGCGCTTGGTAAGCGCTTCGCTGTAGCCAAGCTTACTGCTAGCCTATCGCCTAGAGCCAAGCTTCGACCGCGACTGCTCGTCGCTTCTGGGCGCCTTATTCCGTCACCCGAGATCCAAGTCAGCACCGGCAAAGATCTCTTGATTCCTCGCGGCCGGGCCGGCTTGGAAGCAAGCTACCTGTCGCCTATCTCACCCCCTTTCTTATTATTAGTAAGATAGGTTGCCCCTTTCCCCTTTCTCTAATAATAAGGCTCGTAAGACCTCACTGCCGATCGCCTTCAGCTGGGTGAGCCTTCGCTTTTTGGATCGTCTTCTGCCCAATGTCAATGTGGTACCCTCCCGTTTGTTTTTGGTTCCCATTGGGTTTACCTTGTTTACAGGTCGACCCCATGGCAGCAAGAAAAAAAAGGCGATCTTGTGCTATACTCCGGTGATCTCTTTCCTACCGAGGCACGCAAACCCCCATCGTGTCCCAGATCACATTCCGTGAATCGAAAGGGGAAGCCTACTCATCCATCAGCTCCTCTCGTAGATCGGTGCGGTTTTACGAAGCGTCTAAGCACAGTTCACTCGCGTTGATCAATCAAGAGCTTTGCCGCCACTCCTTAAGGTTACCTGTTGTATCATACACTTCTTGCATTCTTTCCCACGCTTCATACCCCCCATTTCTTCTTAAGGTAAGGTAAAGGGCCAGGCATGGTGGGGTAGGAGCATTCTGCCGGCAATCTTTTTGGCTTGACCAATCAGTCTTATGTCCTCCGAGTCGCACGGCGTTTTAACCGAAAGAACTTCTTGCGCAATTCATGCGTTTCTGTTTTTATGACCAGAAATTGTTTCTTGATTTCCATTTCAAATTGTTCTCTGGACTTTTTATCAATATGAGGTGATCGTAACACAGTATATAAGACTCGTGATTCAGGCAATCCAATCTTCCGTGTGTAAGGCGGAAGCCCCCCAAAATGGTTTTCCAAAAATGGGTGATCAAAAGATCGAATCACTATGCGTATCTTGGTGGTCGTTACTTTTGGTGGTCTTTCTTTTTGGCTGACTCCTTTTCCTGTTCTATTGATCAGAAGCATCCAGCAGCGCCACGCCAGTAGAAAGAGTTAAGCTACTAAGCGAATTTTAAGGCTACCCGGCTAATGGGAATCGAAAAGCTATTTCTTATACTTCGCGTCAGCAAATTTCCGATTTCCCAGGGAAACCAGTGAATCGATAAACGTATTCCAAATAGAACAGTTCTTGGTTCCTAAGAAGCGTCGGATCCTACGGAACTGCTCTAAACGCGTATCGATGTCTGTTTCCCAGGCATCGTAGAGAGCCATGTTCATGGCACGTGCGATATCTTTCTTATCATTCTCATCGAGAAAAATGCCTTTAGAGAGAAGTAAAGCACGTGCTCTTTCCACCATCCTAGCCTCCTCATTTTCGCAGGTCGTATTGATCGCATTTACTGCTCTATAAATGCGGTCCTCTGTCCCCGGGTCGAGCGGATTAGGAAGGGGGCGGGCAACCTCATCTTCCTCTTCCGCTAAAACCTCGAGGTCGAAAGAGGTCCAACCCGAGCTCGAACCTTCGTGTGAACCCACACCCACTATGGAGTTGGATCCACCGGATGAATGGCTAGCTGTTGGCAGCACCTGGCACACGGAAAGATCCCACAATATAGAATCAAAGTTATGGTAAAGAGTTAAGCTACACCTAACAAAAAGAAAAAGCAAAATGGAGAATCTCACTATATAACGAGCCCTTTTAAAGTAGGGGCTCGTTATATAGAAGCAAAAGATACGAACTTGGAGACTAAAAGGAACGTAGTGGAAGAAAATCGAAAGCAAGAAGAGGAAAAGGCAGAACCAGAAGAATGGTGTTCAATAAGTGAATTTATCCAGTTGAGGCATTATTGATTGAGAACAAATTCTGACCTACAGACTGAACTCCGAAAAGCCTGTAGGACTAGTGTTTTGACGAGTGGTTGGTTGTTGACCAACGAACTACGTGGGAGAAAGAAAGATGCACTGAGTTACTTACGAATCAGAAAGATTGAGGCTGACTACGGCCTCAAATGATTAGGCGGGGACAGGATTCGAACCTGCAATCTTCAGGTCATGAGCCTGATGAGTTGACCAATTCCTCTACCCCGCTTCTTCCCTCTTGAAACTGAAAACATATAGAAAAGCAAATAAGACTGCCCACACTGAACACCAACATGAGATAGGTTGCGGCTATAGTCAGAACTCAAACTGAGCCAATTGGGTAATTATGACCTGAGGTACCGAAGCCGGACGGGCAGACCTCTAATCGTTGGATCCGGTAAACAGGGTAGCCCCAGGTACGCTTGGGACTGGATGGAATCCTTTTTTCCTAGTAGCGAACCTTTTTTTCGTTCCCACAATCATCTTTCTTGTACCTCGAGAACCAAATCCCACATGTACGAACTGGCTTTCACAATAACAATAAATAAAGGGAAGTGCGCCGGGAAGTGAGGAGCCAGAAAGCATAGATTAGATTTCCAGGTCTATCTATTATACGTTATTTCACCGATGCGAGTGCCGAGTTGTTTCGAGTCTCAGAAAATCCGATCCTCGCTCAGCTCCAGCTTCAAAGGTATGATATGTAGGCAGATTTTCCGGTAGGTTGAGTCGGTCAACTGTCATGTAAAGAACAGAAAGGAGAGACTTTCCAGCCCATGTGTGTAGCATCTTACTTTTCCAGCACTATCACTGAACTAGTACCGTACTTTCCATTAAAAAAATGACTAAAACTCTCAAGGTCCGTCCAGAGTTTCACCTCACTAACTTGAAAGAGACTACTCCTCTGGAAGGAACGACTCTATATAAAGAGACGCGCTACGACGCTGGATACTCGATTAAAGTAAATTGATCCCGCGGCGCGGGGACGGAAAGCAAAATAGGGCAGGATTCGCTCAATCAAAGACAGTTCCATTCGATCTTAGCCGATCTCAGGTTACCGGCTCTCCCGCCTCATTTCAAGGCACGATTGGAGAGCTCATTGGGTACTACACCTCAAGGGCGCTTTCTCAATCGCAAAAACGATACTGTCTGAGATGCGATGTTCTGATTATTTATGTCATTTTCAATGCTTGTTCTCATTCCTACTTGCTTCTTTCCCTACTATATGGGGTTCACTGAACTCAATCACTTCCTTTCTCAGCAAGAAAACGGGGCAATCAAACTAAAGGCGTTAGTACGAACAAGCCAGCTACGAATAAAGTCGCTCTAGCGCGAAAGCCCCCACTTAGTTTAAGGCGTTAGTACGAACAAGCCCGCTACGAATAAAGGCGCCCTAGCGCGAAAGCCCCCACTTAGTTTAAGGCGTTAGTCACGAACAAGCAACGGATGAGCGCTCTAGCGCGAAAGCCCCCACTTAGTTTAAGGCGTTAGTACGCGCAGCCGTTTGATTGCTGCTTTAGTTTTCTTGCTGCTTTAGTTTGATTGCTGCTTTAGTTGGATTGCTGCTTTAGTTGGATTGCTGCTTTAGTTGGATTGCTGCTTTAGTTGGATTGCTGCAGGAGTTTTCTTGCCCCGCCCCGTTTTCTTGCTCGTTGCTTGTTGCGCTAACGAGCAGACGAAGGTTTAGTGATCACTTACGCAATTCGACTTATGCTCTTTTGCGAGATGAGATCACTCTCTCTTTCCACTAGGCTAGTGAATGCACGATCAGGTTAGACTTAATTGACTGAGTTCAGTTTCAAGTTCAGTTACACTTATTAACACGAGGGCTAGTTGAGATCAGGGACGGACTCTAACTGCCCCGCTGGCCGGAGGGAAAAAGCACTCCATAGATTGAGGCAACTTACACTGAATAGTAAGCTATAAGTCTCACTTCCTCTCCTAGAGAAGTCAGGTAGCGAAAGAGTTGAACTCATTCTCTCCATTCAGAGAGAGTAGAGCCCAGAGACAGGTAAAGGCATACAACTGAGCAATCGAGCCTACATTGGAACTCACGAGTGAAAAAGCGATTCGGCTTACGGGAGTGAAACCGAGGGACAACCCTTTCCTTTCTTGCTGTTCTTTCATCAGCAAATGTGGCAAACAGGTGGGCTGGTGGTCTTTTCGTATTAATTATAAGTAGAAGATCTCCGCTCGCGAGGAAATCAAAGGCTCAAGGTAATAAGGGAAATCTCTTTAGGAAAGCAAGTCCCTTAGCTCTTGGATTCATCGAGAAGGCATGAAGTAGCGGTTGATAGTGAAAAGTGACCTGACCTACCGCGCTTTCAGCACAAGCTAGTCAATCAGTGAGGCCACCATGCCCACAACTTAAGCCCTCAACCTACGATTGATGAACCGTGCGTGAGGGCAGGGCTAGGGCTATAGTAGAATATCTGAGGAATCCATTACTGAACCGTAGGATTCAACGAAGAAGAGATTCACCCTTCTTAAATTAAAGGGATGAAACCCGCGATTGAGTTGCTCCCGTCCCTAAACAAAGCACCAGTAAGCCTTTGCTCCGATTGACATTTCGAAATGACAAAGTTGAGACGTCCATGTCTATTAACATCAAGGTGTGCTACCGTGCCCTTATGACGCATGGTCTATCTTATGATATAGAAACCCGAAACACGAACCTTCACTCCGATC